TAACGCTGTTTTCTCCACAATACATTTTTAATGGGCGAGGCACGCTCGTTATCGATCTCAAAACCAAATTTCGATTCGAGTTATGTTCGATATCGAATGCCGCGATCTGGGCCCAGATACATTTTGTTATGGTATGGTAAGTTCAATTTCGGTAATGCATTAAAATGTATTAAAATACAAAAGAAATTTATTTAACAGCAAACTTAATTTGATGAAACTTGATTTGATAAAAAATAACAATAGACCCAGAAGTATTAGAAAAGGCGGAAAGTGTCAGCTTCTTATTTAACTCTGCGATTCGTGCAGAGCAGCTATGTACGTCTGCTATCCGATGAACATACTTACAAGTTTTGTTTATAGTAGTTCCAAGTCAGGTACAATTGAAACATAAGTTTTAATTTAATATGTAATATCCTTTTCAATGTTGATAGTGAATTTATTTTTAATGAACTTGTTTAAACATTTTGCTTTTTCTAGCGAGAGGATAACTTGGTAGGTATGTAGGTATGTATGTATAAACTCATCTATGTATTTTTATGTGTACGGTATCAGATAAAAGTGTATTAATTTTCAGTTGTGATGAAATTAGACTAATATCACAATAAATATAAAAAAATAAACTTATCTAAAAATAAAGAATTGTATTACGCTATTCTTTTGGCCAATTCGGGCAAGAATTTTACCTAAACTTGAGTGCAATAATTCGCAAAAATAAGATTTCAATTCAAGCAGCACATATTTCATATAGAAATATTTTCGAATATCAAAAAAAAAAAAAAAAAAAAAAACAAGGTGATTGCTGGGAATTTATTGTAAATGTAAAGGCAAGACTTCTTTCTACTTTGTTATTTGCTTAAATAAAAGGAATAGCATTTATTGAATTGATAATACTTTAATGTCTACTTTAGGTATACCTACAGATTTAAGTATGCATATGTAATTATATAACTAGATGCAGTGCGCAAGTGTCCCCATGAAATGAAATAAAGTTATTAGTTCTAAGATAGTATCTAACAGAACAAGACTTGGGACTGGTTGCTTTGTTATGCAATGAAGGACACTGGATACTTAAAAAAAAAAATACGATTTCTGCTGGCAAACGAAGTGTACAAAATTCAAATCTAACCACGATTCGTTCATGTGTGCGTTGTTGTTGTATAAGCAACATCGGCTCACGGGTCGCTCGGCTACAACAATCGTCAACGGACGTGATTTTTCGTTTAGTTTATCTCTCTGAACTGTCTACATTGGAATGCTTATGGGGTAAATGTCCACGCCCTAATGACACCTCCTTTATAAAGTAGACAGTTCAAGCCGTTGTTCGGAGATTGAGTGGGAAGTAGTATTGTGGAAAAATGAACGCATAATAAGTTAGAAATAAGTAATAAATAATATGCCAGTGAAAAATGTTTTAGAGTGTTTGCTTTGATTTCAGCTTAAATGTAGGTAAACGCTGTACACTTTAATGCAAGCCCGAATCTATAAACCTATAAGTAATATGTACTGTTAGCAAATGCAACTATAATATAAATATGCATAAAAAATTCACATCATTTCTTTCAAAATATTATCAAATGCCTTAAACTTCAGTTCAAAAATGAGTGTTGGATGCAGCATTTCTTTGAAACAACGCATTTTTGTTGTGGAAATTAACAATTTTAAACTGTTACAATTTTTTCAATTCAAAATGATAATACATGCATGAGTACTTAGCTATCCCACAGATATTTTATACCTACAAAATACAACAACTGATAGATATAGCTGATGAAAGCCAGTGGTTTATATTAATAACTTAAGTCTAACCAAATGTAAACTAAGAAAATGTTGCCTTCACCAATCAAACTATAAACTGTGTAACAGACAGAACTTTTTGAGTGACCTAGTACACGTCGTTGTTCTGGTCAAATTATTCACGAAACTATGTTTAAATTTTTCAAAACACCCTGAAATTCTCAACTTCTTCATAAAAAAAATTAAATTAAATAAAAAATTAATTGCAGAACCTGCCTGGGTATTTATTTTGGGTTTGAAAATTCAATTGCTTCGTTTTTATTCATACGGTCCCATATTTCGAACAAAAAAGCATTCAGTTTGGTTAAGACGTGTATGACACAATCGCTCTTGACTGAACAATATTTGCCTTTTCTATATGGAGTTATGAAAAAGTTTATTTGCTTTCTTGTAATAAACATCGAGAGCTTTCTCATGAAACATTTGATAAAAGGACGTGAGAAAAATGCCAAAATGTTTGAGATTAATTTAAAAAATTCTTCACATTTTTACTAAGAGCCTAGCTGAACTTTTTTTTTTTAACTTAGCTTAGCAAATAATTCTAAAATTAGTAGTGTAAAAGTGGCAAATTTTTAACGACAGTTTTTTTTAATTACTCGGTCACTTAAAAAGCTCGTACACTCTTTTTAATTTTGTTACGCCGCGTCTATGGATATTCATACATGCACTTGTAATTATTATGTGAACAAAACTTGTGCATAGTTGATTTTTCATATCAAAACACACAAATTTTGGATATACAGTTCTTCTTTGTTGAAGTTTTTGTTTTTCTAATACACTTTATTATGCTTACGGTTTAAGATGGTTTAGATTAATTTCACTACTTTTCTTGACTTGATTTCGAGATAAATGTATGTCTATAGGTATGTAAGTTCGCATTTTATGTATGTAGCTTACTAGGAATTACATTGAAGCACACTAAGTTACAACATATATATTTTAGTGAATTTGAGTTTTCATATATAGCTTGCAAAATTTAGATGTGTTTGCCTAATTCATATTGTTAATAAAGGATGTTTATGTTTATCTGTTTTGTGTGGGTATGAAAGTGTACACATGTATTTAGTATGTATAACAGGGTCGGGATGGTAAACGCTGTTTTGAAAATCCGTTTCACCTCAGATTTCTTATGGGCTCCTCTTCATTTATTCAGCAGAAATGGCAAATTGCATTTATGTATGTATGTGCAACTAGATGTGAGACTAGTTCGTTTTAGATTCGACTTTTCATTTGTTTTTGGCAACTTCTGCTTTGATAACTGAGTTTATAACTTTTGGTATCACTACTGTAACCTTTATGTTATTAACCGCATACCTTGAATGTGCACGCATTTGCTTGGACATACATATGTATGTATGTATAAAATGTATATACGTATATGCGTACACCATCGGCATCGTTGGGTTGACATTTAAGGATATTTTGTCTTTTTAAACAAACTTTATAAAATCAATGGTTTTAGTTGGGCATTTATAAATAATAACGAGGATGTAAACTCATTTTAGAGTTGGAAATTCAATATGCATAATGGCTTTTCCATAAGCTAATAAAATTAAAGGAAAATAAAAAAAAATCAAAAGAAGATTAGGCGTAAGTTTTAATGTATGGCATGTCTTTCTCAAAACGCCTTTTATCTTTGAGTTTCGTCCTGAATTTCATTTATACCTTCCTTGCAGTTCGTTCATTCAGTTTAATTACACATTAAAATATAGTATAAAAATTACTATATTCGCTTTATAAACATAGATATAGATAAATTCATAAGTCTATTTGAGCTCATGTGTCTTAAAGACGTGTCTGTCGGCCGTATTTTCTATCTACGATCTATTTTTTGAATGTGGTGCGAAAGAAAATTAAATGTTGACTTAGGGCAATAGTATAAAAAACTTCTACCAACCAAACCAACCAAAACCAAAGACAAATGCGTGTCGTAAGACTAGTTAAATGTGTTGATTTAAAACTTGTCAGCGTTATAATGTTATTACAATTACACAAAACAGTTTTCTTAGTTTCCTAACGTCTTACTTAAATATTTGGTTTCATTTTAATAACTTTCAGATTTTGAATAATTACACCAAATCATTTGCATAAATGTATAATTCCTATTGCACTCGAAAGCCGCCATTTAATTAATCTAAAGCACCAAATACTTTTCAAAAGCTACTTCTTATTGTGTATAGCAAGATTCATAAAAATACGAAATTACGCGGATGGTTTGTCTTTTTTTGTCCATCACTGTGCTAGCTCAGCGCAAATCCATCTGCGGACCGACATCGTCATAATATCCTATTAAATAGTAGTAGTAGTAGCAAATATCGACAGTTGTAAAATCAACTTATTTTTCTTAACAAAATATTAACTCATAAAGATTTGAATTTAACACTAATTTGTTGCTCTTCTTGTTTTCCGAAAACAAGATATATTACTAACAAATAATAAAAAGCTTTTTGTAAATCTTGCATCGCAGCTTTGTTATAAAAAATTAAAACTAATTTTAAAAGAATAACATTAAAAATAAATGTGTCGAAAATATATTTATCTACACTTTTGACTTTCAAATAATTCGAGGAATATCGTAGAGGATACCCAAAATTCGTACGACCCGGATGCTTGGTGTACAGCACATTCTCAATTATCCTAGCAGTAGTATTTGAAATCACAAAGGTTACACACATGGAGCTTAAATTCATAATGCACTCAGCCGGATGATGGAGCTCAGGTGCGAAAACGGAAATGAAATCGGATTTAAGGTAGCATTCGCAGTGCGACAAAAAACCCTGATATTCTGTAGTTTTGGGGGAACCAATCAAATTTTTTACAACTCCTCTTATGGGGTGCAAATAGGCCTTTAATAGCCATAGTGGTGATACTATCGCAGATAAATTGGTTCTAAGCATTGATTTTGTTGTTGTTGTAGTTTGATTAGTTCTTTGCACATGTGTTAAGAATTTGTTTCTTGTGACAGTTTGCTTTGTTCGGTTTTGGGTAGGTGGTCGTGATTTTAGTGTTTTTTGTAGTGCTGTTACATTCGTATGTGCAAATATTGGTGATATAGTATTAATATTTAGTTTAAAGTTTTCAAATATCAAATGGTGAAGTAAACGTTGAAGCTTCTTTTTGTTATCTTTTAACCACAGTTGCTGTTGTTGTGATGCTAGCAGTTGCAACTTTATAAAATACTTATAGCATGATTTAAGCAACTTTAGTTACGGTTGAAGTTGCTTTTTTGGTTTTTTTAACTCAGCTTCCTCGTCGCGCTTGATTTCAGTGTAACGCTCGCCCTTTAAAGAAACAATCTTATTATCCCGATAGCGAACCAATTTTTTCGGCTCGAATTTTGGTACCATCGGCTTGTATTCCCGCTGAGTTGCGTTTTTGTCTACGTATGAGTATCTGCAGATAAAGAATAGCGATTTAAATCAAAATTGTTGTCTTAATAGTTATATTTAATTGGCAGTTCACCTCTCAATAATACGATTTTTGAGCTCTGCGTCGTCCACAACGATACTTTTTCGTCCAGAAATAGAAATAGACTTGTCGGTTAGACTTTGGCCAGTCTCTTGACGATGTAACAAAATTTGAGTTGCGCTATCAATATCTCCTTTAGCTATAGCAATGCAATGTTTCACCTAAGCAAATTTTGATATAAGGGAAAATGTAATTAACAATTGAAAAAGTTTAAATAGGGCAAAATAAAAAACTTAAGGCCCGTTGTTGTTTACTTCTTACAACAAACACAGCTAGAAAATAATTTGTTTCTTTCTTTCATTCAGCAAAGCTAACGCCAACACAAAGCAGAAAGATGGCCAGTCGTCAGCTGTTGCAAATATATAAAACTATGTGAAATATTTTTCCTTATCTGTTGCTAGTATGTTAATTTAGTCACCAAAGCGTTCGCTGCCAAGCGTTTATTGTAGCAAGCATACTTTTAACGGGCGTTCTGTCAACCAAAGCCAACGCGAGAGTTCTATGTGGACCGGACTTTAAGGTAGCCTCAAAGGGATGCGATACTACCGATGCGGTACAAATATTTACGGTACAAATGCGGAATACTTAATGTGACCAACCGTACTTCTTTCGGAAGTTCAGTACTTCTTTTTTAGCTCTTGTACTTCGTACTTCGAAGTACAGTCAAATGTACTTGTTTGCAAAATTTGGTCTTCAGGTCATGTACTTCTCCGATCATCCGGACGATCGTCCCATGGCCCGGGCGATAAATTCTTTCAAACCCTTCAAGTCACCGGGGGCCAATGGCATCATACCTGCGCACCTGCAAAGGATTCTAGAGGTGTCTGGCAATTGGTTGGCTCCTATTTATGCGAACTGCATGAGGACCGGGTACATCCCCAAGGCTTGGAGGGTAGTCAGTGTTGCGCTCATCCCGAAGGCCAGAAAAGTCTCTTATGCTTCCCGTACAGATTTTAGGTCTATCAGTCTGTCTTCATTTTTTGCTAAAAACGCAGGAGAGACTGATAGGCCTGTGCATAAGAAACGTGATTCCTCGTGACTATCTTTTAAGAGCCCAACATGATTATTGAGAGGAAATAGTCAAGTATATTAATCTGGGGGTTGAAACCAATCTTATCTACAGCTTACTCCGTAACAGAACTGTCGCGGCGGAGTGGAAGAACGCATGCATTTAGCACAGAGTCAATAGGGGCACTCCGAAAGGTGGTGTTCTCTCTTCCCTGCTCTGGATTGCAGTTGTATATTACCTGCTAGAGGAACTGGAAAACGTGCGCTGTCGGGTGATCGGGTATGTAGATGATGTGGAACTTTTGGTTAAGGAACGATTTCTATACACCCTTTTTGATCTGGCTCAAGGTTACCTGAACCAGGTAACTAGTTGGGCGATCCACGGCAAGACAGAACTGGTCTTGTTTGACCCGATGTGCAAGATACCCGTTGTGGCCCTTCCATCGTGTGGGGGTGTTCGTCTACGGCTCTCAGATAGGGTCAAGTACTAGGCTTGATCCTGGATAGTAACCTGTCGTGAAAGCCTAACATTGAGGAAATGGTAAGAAAGGCGTCGGTTGCCTTGTATTGCTGTAGGGGAGCTATCAGTAAAAGATGAGATCTCTCGCCTAAAATAATTCATTAGCTCTATGAAACCAGATTTAAACCTATCTTGTTTCACGGAGCCCTCGTCTGATGGATCTCACTAGAAAAGGCTAAACTTGTAAAACAACTGGAGCGTTTACAGCGGATCGCCCTAACCGGAATTAGTAGAGCATTAGAAACCACACCAAGACTGGCGCCTCACGACGAAGCTCACGTCCCTCTACTCGGCCATGACGAGGTGAGAACAGCAATACGGCGGCTTAAGAACAACAAGGCCCCCGGAGCTGACGGTATTCTGACTGAGCTGTTCAAAGCTGGTGGCGAAGAGTTGGAGGGGCGCATGTACCAGCGTCTAAGCAGAATTTAGTCTGATGAATACATGCCCGAAAACTGGAATTTCAGTGTACTTTGTTCAATCCTCAAGAAAGGAGATCCCGCCGTATGCGACAACTATCGCGGAATAAGCCTTCTCAATATTGCTTACAAGATCCAGTCGACGATACTCCGTCCCAAATGGGAATGACCTCTCCTCGCTGTTTGAGACCAAACGATATTTTAGACACTGCGCCTCTGCCCCACCGGTTCATTTTCCATTTAATCCTCACTATCGTGCGACCTTTTCAACCTGATGCTGGAAAGCGTAATAAGAGATGCCAATCTGAATCGCAGCAGCACCATATATTGCAAAAAAAAGGATGTTGCTGGCGTAAGCAGATGATATTGACATCGTCGGTCTGACACAGGAGGCCAAGCGAACAAGTGCTACTTTGGGCTCGGTAGAAAATAGAAAAGCAGAGACCTCTCTCGACGAACAAAAATTACGCCCTACAACTCTCTCGTCATGCTATATTGCACAGAAACGTGGACGATATAGAGCAAAGATGGGAAGGTTTTGGGTGCTTTCGAGAGAACTATTCTACGTAAGATCTACGGCCCTCTTCGAGTGGACGACGGGTATAGGAGAAGATGTAATGACGGACTGTATGAGCTTTTTAACAGCATGGACATAGTTAAACACATAAAAATATAGCGATTGCACTGGCTGGGATATGTTATACGCATGGACGACGACGCTCCGTTTAAAAGATCCTTCGACTCCGCACCCATGGGTGGACAACGAAAGCAAGGGCGCTCACGAAAATAAAGGTGCACCAAGTGCAGAAGGACCTGTCTGCACTCGGGATGAGCAACTGGCGCAAATTCGTACGAGAGGCAATTGCAGAAGCTTTTTGGTGTCGGCCCACACCGACACACGGTTGCAGCGCCAAATAAGAAGTTGCCGACAATGTCGTCTTTGACCCAGAGGCTGCCGGCTAGCGACTTGAAGACCTTGTTGCGGCTCTGTGCCTCTGTTGGCAATTGCAGTTGTATGCTCAGAGAAGGAGAGTAGACTATCGAAGGTAACTTCGAGGATTTTTGGGTCATTCCCCGCGGAATTTGTTCGCCATCGACGTGAATTCCCAGCCGTAGTCTGACCTCCTTCGTCCAGGTGGTATAAAGAGTTGCCGAGAATTTCATAAGGGAGAGGGTTAGGATCCCTGCAGTGGAGAAGCTAGAAAGTTCGGTGGTATCCGTTTACTTTCAAACACAAATCAATTTCATTCCCGGACGCCATTATCGAGCAGTCAAGCTTTGAAATGTAGTAATTAAACAGCAGCGGGGAGAGGACACCCCCTGTTTAATTTTCTTCGGCCTGCTGGTTTTGTCCCTAAAAATTACTGATGAATGTCGACCACCTGTCTGTCTGGGAGACAAGCTTTCACAAAAATTGTAAACTTGTAAACAAAATTTTTTAGAATTCTTTTGAGTATGCAGTTTTTTAGCTCACTTTCAGTATAATAAAATGCAAGTTTTAAGTGGCTATAATCTACCATTGATTTTTGCGAATTTTTTTACTTACATTTCGGTATTTTTCCCCATACAAAATAAAAAAAAACTATCACGCATCCGTCATCAGCAAAAAGAAAAACTCAAAAATCAACCGTAGTTTATAGCCACTTAAAACTTGTACTTTAATCATGATACAAAAAAAGAAGGTAGTTTCACTTGACACACAAATTTTTTGACATAAACTGGATTATGATGCTTATACTTTTCATTAGCAGAGCTGTTAGTAAGTGTGTATTGATTTAAAATACCTTAAAGTATCTTACCACAAAAAAAAATTGGTATTATCTGCAGTGTTACCTGAAATATTATTATATCCGGCCCTTTAAGAAACTTATATATTAGGATGTTGCTTTAATTTGGGACTTCTTTAGTAGAAATTGAGTGGTTAAAAGGAGCTTACCGTCAATGAAAGCACCATGGTAGCATGAGCTCTTTGCTATAGTTTATGGACAGATAAACTCACTCGCTCTACTGCTGCTGGTGC